AATTTTTATTTGACAACCCAAAAATTTCCCAACTCGAACTTTGAAGTCCTTGAAATACCAAAGAGCTTCGGATTTTTCTTTGACAAAATAAACCCAAATTTTTCTGGTATAATCATCAAAAAATAAGAAAAAATATTGGTTACCTCGAAGAGATGAAAGAAACTCTAATGGGACCACAAAGATCGGTGTGAATAAGCTCCAATGGTGAATGTGATTCCCAAATAGATTTTGATGGAAATGGCTCTCAATGTTGTTTTCTCAACTGTCGCTCTTTGTAAATTTCACTTATAACATCAATTTTGGGCAACCCTTGAACTATGGTCTTCCTAGATAACTCCTTCAAACTTTGAAAATGGAGGTGGCCAAATTTGTCATGCCACAACTTGAAAATCTCTTCATTAGCAATAAGAAAACAAGTATCATTTAAAATATCAAGGTTCAGAGGAAACAAGTTATTTAAGCCCAAACCAATGTTTGCAACCAGTTGATTTTTCTTCTGCAAGTGCAAAGTCATCAAAAAAGTGAATATCCTTTCTTCATTAGAGGGCCAACACTTAACTACAGCTTGAATTTTCACTATAGAATTAATTCTCGTAAAATATTCTGAAATCTTTTCATTGTCTTTCATCTCCAAGTTCTCCAATTCCGCCCTCAAGGATTGCAAACAAACTATCTTCACTTGATCTTTGACGGAATAAGTTGTTCCAAGAATTTCCCACGCCAATTGGGAACTCTTTGCCTTGGATATCCTCTCGTAAACTGGAATTTCAATTGCTTGATATATTTGAAAAATTGTTTTTCTATCTTTTTGTCTTTTGTTCTTCAAGACGTTTCTTTGTGCTTCAGACAATTGGTTTTCATTTTTAGGTGGTTGTACTCCTTCTTCAACAACACTCCATAAGTCTTGACTCTTGAGATTCAAGACACTACTTCATTAGATTACTCCAATAATCAAAATTTTCTCCATTAAAATGAGGCACAAGGGAAACAAGATTGTTGTTGGACATTATTTTCCTTTTTCAAGGCTCTGATACCAGTTTGAAGGCAATATAATTTGGAAAACTTGGAGAGATATAATCTGAAATGTATTTCTTATTTGACTTGAAAAATACTGCAATATGTGGTCCTATTTATAC